ATATATTAACTAATATTAATAGCTATAATATCTTAAAACTATACTAGATTTCTCTTAGTAAGTATAGGAGGAGAAGCTCCTAACCTTTATTATAAAAGTAAAGCTTCTCTTTTAACTTATTAAATACTCTAAATTTTAAGAATTAATTAAATTTACTTAACTTACTTCTTTATAGCCTAATATTCCTTCCTCCTAAACTATATAATAGTAATTATAAGAAATAACTAAGATATAGTAATAAAAGATACTTAATAGGCTTCTATCTAGTATAAAGTTATTAATTACCCTTAATTACTAGATATCTCTATTTTAATAGGCTTTTATAGTAATTATAGGATATTTTTTTAATAATAAATAGAATTATTAAGAAATTTTACTTAGTTTTAAACTACTTTATAGATCTTACTTAGATACTAACCTAAGTACTATTTTTTTTAACCTACTTTAGTAATATAAGATTATAGATTATATAGTTTTTATTATAATAGATAATATATTAAATAATATTATATTAATAAAAAATATATAAGATTTAATCTAGATAAATTAAATTAGTACTAATACTATAATTATCTATATTCTTTATATTATATATATAATCTAGCTTAGTTTACAGAAGCTTTTTAGTTAGATAAAAGCTAATCTAAAGAATAAGATAATAGAGATTAATTAGTTAGAGGTCTAATTATAATTAATATAAGTAAGATAGTAAAAGTAAGAGATTACTAATACTCTTAATAAAGTAAGTCTCTTTATAATATAATATTTAGATTAATATATTAATTATTATAATATTATTAGGTAAGGGTGCTTATAATTTTTATTAATATAAGTCTTTAATATTATAAAGTCTTTTATAATCTCTAGACTAAAGTACTAAAGCTTATACTAATCTAAGATATTAAGATTTATTAGAATTCTATCTTCTTAATACTCTAAAGAGTAAAGAAACTATAGCTAATCTTTAATTAGTTCTATTTATAAAATAATTATAATTACTTAATACTTAATTAAGAAGAATAGTATTAGATTAAGTATCTTCTTTAGATTACTTAATTATTCTTTAAATTTACTACTATACTCTCTTAAATAAAAGATATAACTATCTATATTATCTTTAGTATTTATAATAAACTTTTTAATTATCTTAAAGTATTAATTTATTAGCTTTAATAGAAGAAAGTAATTTAGAAGAAGCTTATACTTAATACTCTTTATATAATAAAAAAGAAGCTATCTATCTATTATAAAAAAAATAGATAAGGTCTATAGTAATCTATTTATAATTAGGATAATTCTTATACTATAAAATAAGCTTTAGGTCTTTAGTAATAAGGATTAGGGTTTTAAATTATATAATTAATATTATAAAAGCTTTAAAACCTATATAGATCTCTATAAGGAATACTTATTAAGTTATTAGCTATATAGGGCTTACTATAGATATTATCTTTAGATATTTAAATATTAAAGATTAATATACTTTTTACCCCTAATTTTAATTAATTAGTAAGTATTAATRAGACTATATAGTACCTTAAGAGTAATAAATAATATTAGTATTCCTATTAATACTCTATTAATTAATATTATCTAATAGAGATAGCCCTAATTACTCTATAAATATTCTAGAAAGAGTATAAATATAAATTTCTAGCTCTTATAAAAATAGTATATAATATATTCTTAATATCTACTACTAGTACTGATATTAAGTAGCTTTTTAATTCTACTTAAGATATCTATTATTATTATTAAGGCTTACTTAATTCTATAATAATCTAAGATCTAATACTATTTATATATATATTAAGGTTTAAAGTAAAAAAGAAGGAACTTTTCCTTATAAAATAATATCTTTTAAATAAGGAATAGTAAGCCCTTAATAAAGAGAAAGATACTTAATAACTTTAAAATACCCTTAAATTAATTAGTAATAATAAAGAAGAAGATAGCCTAGAGATTAGTATAGACTAGCTAGCTACCTAGTAGCTATCTAAGTATATATAAGATAAAAGATAAAGGAGTATAATATCTAATAGAGAGTAAGAGAGCTAGGAATCTTTTCTATTAGATAATAAAGTAGTTCTTCCTTTACCTAATATATAATAATATATCTCTAGATAAAATTAGAAGTACATAAGGTGTGAGGATAATTAGTTCCTTTATTATTAATTATTAGTATTATAGGCTAACCCATGACATATACTATATTATATATACTACTATAATTAAGTAGTAAGAGTTAATTATTATAATAATTAGTATATTAGCTATATATACTTAGCTTCTTCCTTCTTTAGTAATAGTTAGAGTATAGCTCTATACTAGAATTCTAGCCTACTTATATTTATATATATAATTTAAATACCTATAAATATAAGATAAGACTATATCATTAATATATATTATATGATCTGGAATATTTATCTAGTTTATCTACCTAACTAGGTTATCTAAAACCTAGCTAGGTTCTATATAAAAGCCTAGAACCTAACTTAGAATACCCCCCTTAAGCCCAAACCCCAGCCTAAGTTAGGTTTGATATATATTTTAGTTAGGTTACCCAGAACACCTGCCTAGGTCTAGTCTAAGCCTTCTCTAATATATATCTCTATAGACTCTACTATATAAAATTCACAAAATACTAACTTCTAAGAATTTTTAAAAATTCTAGACTTAATATTACTAAGCATGCTATATATCACTAGACTAGTAGAAACTAGGCCTATCTACTAAAAATAATTATAATTAGTTAGCAGGTAATAAATTTTAAACTCCCTTTTTAGAATTTTTAAAAAATCAGGAATCATGCTTACCTAATCAGACTATTATTATTCTATAACTAAAAGTATCTACTATTTACTAAAAATAATTATAATTAGTTATCTAGTACTAGACCCCTAGTGAATACTAAGAATTAATATTTCTTCTAGTTTCTGCCTGAATTCTTAGGCCCTACTAGCCTACTAGATGCCTCAGGCACTAATCCATACTAGATGGTGGCCTAAAAGGGTATAGGCTTCCCACAGATAGTAGTCTTGGCAGACCCCAACCAAAAATTTCGACCTTACCCCTACCCCCCTAGTTCGACCACCTTCCCAGTGATTAATCTAGAATCTAATATTAGAATCTAATAGATTAGCTAGTTAGAAACATAAATCATTTTAAATCATTCAAAAATATTAAGATTTGACTAAGATAAGAGGGGGGTACTGAGTTACCCTGTGTACCCCCCCACCACCTGCCAACCCTAAGGATTTGTATGAGTACCCCCCCGGGTACAGAGACATTATAGTGTTAGAATAATCCAAGGCGGCTCCATACTGAGACCTACAGAGTTGATGTTGTCCTAGGATACCGAATATCMCAAGCGATCTATGCCCGCTTCGCACAAGCTATACCATATTCTGGGAGTACAAGATTAATTACAGAGAGCTGCGTGTTGGCCGCGTCAATTAGAACCATAACTCTGGTCATGTTTTCATCAACCATGACCGCGACGTGTATTGGGACAGTCAGACATGGCTCACACTTGGGTCATGCCAGATACGCGAATTGTTGAACGCAGATTATGTGCCCTTCAGTACGCTATTCTTGGTGGGTGATTTATTGAGCATCATCGAGCGAAACCAACAACACTCAACTCAATCACTAGCATAGTCAGCTCTCTGAAATTTAGCCCCGACCGCACCATCTTTTCAATCCTCGCAGTAAAGGGTCTTCGTCTACTACAGTATCCATATGTCCGTATCATCGTTGGCCTCCTATCTCCAGATCTATCTCAGTATTGACTCACCATATCTGCAGGTATGGTAAGGTGAGGTGGTGACAATTATATAATTAAAGCTATGCGAGTCATATAGCCTAACGGGCCCCATTTCTCAACCGAAACACATATGGATGCGCCAACCAAATGTTCGAGAGTTTATCCTAATATGAGTGGTCTGGGTCAACTTCCTCAACTTCACAGCGGAAATTCTCTCCGAACTGATTGATAAATCCTAATCTAAATTTATAGGCCATCAAGATGAAGCTCTAAATTCACCCTCATTTAATGGAATAGGTTCAACTTGATGCTCATAGGGATTAGCTATAGTGGTATCACTCAAGTAGTTGAGCACCACACCTAAATTACAGTCCGCTCCCCGTCCAGTGTATGGCGATTTAAATACAACTCGAGGCGTGGGGTAGGGGGCACGGCTCAACAAGCATAATAACACACCCGCCCCGAATGTGACCAACAGGTCGTTGAAATACTGCCCTCTTATTAGCACCTAGAGCATCGACGTAGACCGACTGATGCCAAAAAAGAGGATAGATTGCTGAGACAGTAGGCCCAGGGGTCTATACTTTAGTCTCTGGCGATCTGCAGACCTTGACTCCGCTGATGCTTTGGAAAGCCACGAGCTTTTTAATTTCATCGGTTGCCGTCAAGCGGCAGACTATCCTCTTTGCGTGCGATCACAGTCAGACAATGGAACACTGGGGCCGATTTCCAATGCCACAAGAGATGAATAGTCACGAAAAAAATTCCGCTTTATCAAGACATTTGGGAAGTTCATGATATCTTTTGAGGTAGTCGGCCGACAGACTCTGGGGTGCCATGGTGGGCTCTTCCGTATCCTGGGATATTGAAATGCCATCTGTTTCCTCTGATATACTCCGTATCAAGTTGTATATATGATCCAAGAAGGCGAGAGCGAGGTTATTATTGAGACACTCCTAGAGTGCCAAATTATGCAAGAATACAACTGTAGATGCATTGTCCAACTTAGTTGAGAAAGCTAGTGCATTAGATTTAATAGAGCAATATACATTGTCTCATTGAGTGAGAGGCTTAAGCCTTGGGCTCAGACATATACATTCATCCAACACTCTGCTAGGATGCTACATCAACGCATAGTCAGCGGTAAACAGTTTCTTTTTCCTTCTTCTCCTTAGCTTACTATTGTGAATTGAGCGACACCTATACGGTGGTTTGTTTTAGCTCTCCCAAGTTAACCAATTGAAAGGATATAGTCGTATATCTGTGTGTACCAAGGCCTCTGCTTAGGTCGTTCCTGAATGGAAAACATAGGCGTATGATTATGGGGAGAGAAAGCAGTTTTGATATCGGGAGCGTAGGTCCAGGCCTTGTAGTCTTTAGGAGAAGCGGATTCTCCATCCTTCCAGGCTTCAAAAATCTCATTCACGGATGATTGTACTGCTTGGTGACAGTATTCGCGGTTTTCTTTGTTCTCTTTATCAAGGAAGTTCATGTCTCCGTACATGGTCCACTTGCATTGTGTACGACTAGACACATGGAGGCCCTTCTCGCCATCCTCGTCATGCATCAACTTAATCGTTCAATGCCAGTCAGTCTTAATAAGGTCAATCAAACATAACGGATTAGCGTACCTTGGCCTTGTTATCAACATCTACATTATCTCCAAAATGTAGGGCACGTCGTGGAGTTCGTATATGGCCAGCGGAGAACGAATCTTGCAAGAAGTGATCCGCAAAGGCATTTATAGCATAGGCAGTCAGCAGAGCTTCTTGTGTCCCCTTTTTGGCAATTTCAATCGCAACTGCGTGCCCCGTGTTGTATGAAAGCCGTGCATCAAGCCCGAAATGGTCCCAATCCAATCTCGCCAAGTCCAGATACGTAGGGAGTTTCTGATTTTTGCGACCTTGTGTTGCATTCTGAAACCGTATGTCCCACAGTGGACTCTTATAGACTTCGGAAGGATGTCTACCGTGTTTGATGGCTTGTTCGACAGCAGCCTTTTGCTCATTGATAATGTAAAGAATGCTGCGTATTTCAGATTTGAGTCTGGTTTCTACAGCCAGGCTTTCCCAAGCTGATATAAAGCAACGGGTCCGCTCCTCTGGGTCAGGTGCATCACTAATAGGTTTCCATGTTCCAAAGAAATCACCTGCCAAAGCGCTAATCTCTCCGTAGGTAAGTTTCTCGCCATTGGGCAGCGCGAAATGCACTTCTTTGGCTTGTTTAGCAGGCTCATGTTTATCTAGCCGCAATGTAATACCGTCACCGAGGAAAATATGATCAGGTGATTCCCATTCTGATACTGCTGTCAACATGCTTGAAGCTGGAACAAGATAATAGCGTAAGCTTCTCACCAGAATGTGGTGGAGCTAGGCGGCAAGCGCCGTGGAAAACTCCAAGTTCTCTCACTTCATTATGTTTTGGATTTCCGTTCAATAAAAGCTCGGGAATCCAGTACATATCGGGTTGCAGGTTGAAATAGAAATAGACGATCTCGAGAGTCTTCAATCAAGCTAGAATGTCTTTCTAAAAACAATCGTGTACTAAACAGAAAAAAAAAAAAAAAAAAAAAAAAGGGGGAAACTACAGTTGGTAATGGAAAGTTCTTTAAGTATTTTATACTCTTGCCAGAATTCTACTTGTGCTCGTTAAGCTAACATCTGTCAAAAAAGTATGTAGATTCATTGAGCCTAGGAGCTCGTAGATACAATACTACGCGACATACGTCATGGATATTTTCTCTTTCTATTTCCGGCGTAATCACCTCAAGCCTCTACCAAATCCCTGTCAAACCATTATTCATTCGGAACAGTGTGTGTGGTACAGTCCTTCTCAGCATACTCCTTAGCGCTTATTATTGGTGTAATTTGAAGAAATTATATCAAGCATTAAGAATGAATATTATACTTCTAAAGCATGATGCGTTTTGCGTCCATTCGGGATGCGCAATAATTTTTGATGACAAAGCAGCTTTACAATATGACGACTGTTTTAGGACCCTGTCTCTTCTCGCTTCGTCTTCAGATACGTTTTCAGCCTTTTTTATAACTATGCTGGTAGTGTCATAAGGGAGAACTGTATCAAAGAATCAGATGACAGCGTATAGAGCTGAGCGATGCAACAGTTACTAGTATAAGCCAACTAATAACTGGATTGAATGTGCTTCGGCGAACAAAAGTTTCATCATCGCCATTGCACCTCAGATATGCTTTGTCGGGTAACACCATTCCACCAATATCTTGGTTTTGTACTCTATTACTTACATCTGATTGTAATATTCAGCATAGATATCCTTACACAAGCTTTATAGGAACTGTATTCTGTACTTATGCTTATCTACCGAGGTGCTAGGGTGGTAGGATATTATTGTATATAATGGAGCGTATGTGATAAAAGGAACACTACTACCCATACATTGGTTGTAAGCCTAAGTATATCCTAGAGGAGGCAAGACTGTAAGTCCCTACTTATATAGTACCTTGAGTAGCTATTCTTTATAACATTATTTCGAGACTAAACCTAACTAATTATTATCACTAAAATCCTAAATGTAGTATGAGCGTTATCTATAAGTATGCTACTAATTAACTTTTAAATAAAGATAGTAACTTCACATGTTAATTTACCAGCAGAAAGCACATAAAGGCACATTACACAAAAGCAATTTTCATTATCTACCTTTGCCCTAATGGCTTGCCGCAGGTCCAATACAAACTGTTTCAGATCGAAATTTCTACTAGTGTTCTTGCCCTAGTGGGTGAGATAATGTTGCTGGGGAGTAGATGCGAGGGTGCTTCCTATTGCACTCTCTTCCCAACCACAAATCTACTTTATTCCTTGAAAAATCAGGCAACATATTTGAAAAATGACCAATATGGTAGAATACATCTCCCAGGACGTCTTGGGAGCTGCTGCTAAATATGGCAAGTGTAGAAAAGTAAGTGTCACACTTGCCGGATTGACCACGGGAGTTACGGCTAATCGCGCCATCCATGACAAGGAAATGTGACTTTATCTCATCCATTGTAGTTTGGAGACGTGAGCTTCCTGGTACAGAATATCCTCATGGAAAAGATTCACACCGTCTGGGGGAGAAATAGGGTGCTCAGTCACGCCAGTTTGACAAGAACCGTGCCTACAACGGCCTTCCATGGGAAATCTCATTACGTCACCTGAGAGAGCCTGGCTAGTGGTGATGTTAATGACAATGTTACATAATGCTTGGTGAAAAGATTCTCCCCAATTCGCCTTTTCCATCTAATCCCTCAGAGGTGCTATAATCTGGCTAGCGATAGTAATAACTTTACCATCGACGCTACATCACTGAAGGATGACATCGGGGCCCCATATGCACTGTTTCACCAAGTATAAATTGAGGGGAAGTGTCTTCTTTGCGTCTCGAATCCCTCTTCTATTTAAGTGAGATTGACCCTTTTGCAAGTACTGTGGTTCTGCCTGTTTGACTACCAGCATAGTAACCACTACCTTAATATAATATCCCATCTAACCCAAATTTCCATGATGCGCTTTACTTAGATATGGATCTCTGTCCTTGCAGCTCTTCCCATTGCTCTTTCCCTGGATGCTGATCTGGTATGCAAGCAGAAAGTTCTTTAGATGCTTATTTACTTAACTAATAAGAATATTAACAGGCATGGCTCTATGCTAGTAATTATATGCAACTAATCAGTTCTACTTATAGTATAGCATGTGTCCCCTTTAATTAGTAAGTCTCCCTCTATTTAGATCAATTGGTTTTTGCTAAACTAATATAATATCAACTTAGTCCTAAACCAGCAGAGTTAATAAGAGTAAATCCTTAACACCTAGTTAGAGCTGACATATTCTCTAATCTCCATGAGTTTGTTATGACCTTATAAAGCAAGGAATGTGTGCTAATTAGCCCTTATTATAGCAACTCTTGGTGCCGTGGACAACCAGTATACCCTGATGTCCGTGGCACAAAGCGTCTTGAAGGAGATGATATTGTTTCTGCAAAATGCTTTATACAACCAATTGGCATGTGATTTGAATTGTGCTCTCTTCTAAGAGCGACATCCTTTTACTCCTGGAAAGTTTGATTTTTAATTACAGATGTTACATACTTCAATAAGGACTAGACCTTGGTATGGGTGATTTTTTTTGCTCTTGCTTTTAGGAGCTTTTCCCCCCTATACTTGAGTGCAAATGCAGAGGTAATGTACTTATTTCTCTTTAGTTTAGTGATAGTGCTGAAGAATATTGTGGACCGTTTCCCTAACTCATATATATCATACATTGCTTTTGTCAGTAGTGGGTGAAATGGGGCATAGCATAATCCTGACACTTTTGCCATGCAGTGAGCGATACTGTGTTACAAATAATAAACTCTACTTAACAATTGGACTTCACGCAAGGTAGCTATTAATTTAAAATTAGGTATCCTTGGCGATATATGAACTGAACATGTTCGAATAATAAAGCTAGGCGATACTATACATAAAGCTTCAAAGGAGTCCCAGAGTATCATGGGTATCCTGTCACCTGAAAAGAACGAACCGAAATAACCGAAATGTACCCTAGGTCTGCGTCAATCACCAGGGCACTGACTAACGTTACCGGGCTGTGGACCTGTAGCGGTCCTGGAAGGTCCATCTAAGAGTCCCTTCAGAAGTTTAGTCAGGACAGCAAGGATTCTAAAGCTTATGACTTGGTCGTCTTAGATTATCCAAAAATTCCATACCCAAAACGGTAAACTAGGTTTGGTCACCCCTATGCCGACCATTAGGGCTCTACCAAACCCTCGGAACCCTGAGATAGTTCAGAAAATAATTAACAAACCATCCTTGACGATGCCATATACCTCTAAGCTAGAGCTACAAACAGCCACTATATATTGACTTATTTCAGCAAAAAAAAGGTCTAGACACTTGGTCTATGACTGGGCCATGGTACACAAAGGAATCTTACTGATTTAAGTATGACAACACCATTCACCTTGTCTAACCATGTCACGATTACAAGTTCTCTACAAGAGAGATAGATGAAAGTTATCAAATTACCTTTAGCTACAATATGGAATCCTGGAAGAAGCAACAGCAATACTGAACAGGCATAGTGATGTGTTCCACAGACTTGATGGAACCAGTGTAATTTCTGCTTGTTGAGTCACCAAGTGCAATGCTGCTCAGGTCATCAATAATGATTCTTCACAATAATMCTCCTTTACTCACGCAGCCGAAACATACATAGATGTTGTATTGGTATTGATAGATGCAGTTTCATTGCACCAGGGAAKCATTTGTTGATGGCAAAGTCACAACCGTCGTCAGTCCAGAAATGACGGTTCCGGGGGTCACATGTTTACTCGGACTAGCGCCTTTGGATATGTGCTTGAGGCTGCGCATGATAAAATGTCAAAATCTGATTTTAAGGCCTGTGGTTCAATGCCTAGAGTTGAAGAAAGTAAGGTGAATAGAGTCTCAGTAGGGAAACTAATCTTTCCTACGCAAATGGCTTAATTTCCAAGCTCACTCTGAGTTTCTAGCATCAGAATGACATCTGTCATTCTCTGGTGGTTTCCATCAACCATGAAGGTTATGCTTTTAATGTCTGCAAACATACAAGAGCAGGCCTGAAAACAAGTTATCCATGGATTTCATTAGTAATGAGCCGAGGTTCTCACTCGGACACTTACCGGGCCGCAACGAGATGATCATGGGTGGGGCTGATAAGAGATGCCATACTTGGCGATGTCGGACTCCGATCCGGAATCGACTTGGTGGGTTCCATAGAGCATGTCCAAAGTGATAAAGATACGCATCAAACATTGATAATGTAGGCATCATTTGTGTAACATTAGTGACATAGCCTATTGCTTTGAGAAAACATTTCGACGGGTGGACCATGGGATGCATGCTAGTCCCTAGTCCTTGAACGGCTGCACTGCGACCAATTTTCTCAGCCCCTGATTGGTTGTTCGGGTCGGTTTGGTTTTCCCTCACCGCCCGCTGGGGTTCTGCCCAATTAGCTTAGTATATGCCTCGATCAACAAACTTCATGTAGATCAACTAGGAAGACATAATTGCTTCTCTCTCTGTTTCGCGGAATGTCTCAAAGGGCCCATTGTTCCCAGAATAAATATTAATGAGCGTGTGCACGAATCCATGGAGGGCCATCATGCTAGAATGGTAATGAGCGGGTTTTGTGTGCAGCAGGCATGTACGACCAGTATAGGTCTCTTATTGATCCAGCCTGATACGCTAGTCCTATTATTTAAATCAGTCATCCTGACTTGAAGATAAACTGCAGCGCTACTTGATCGCATCCCATCTGTGTGTGAGGAGGGCAACTGTTGGGGAGCTCTTTGGCCAAAGCGAGGGGCGTCACTGAATGCACACAGCATGCCGTCACTGCAGCTATCGAGCAATTGACGTGCCAATAGGACAAGATTACTTCAAGTGCACCAGACAGAACATGCCATAKGAGCCCTGGCATATGTTGATTCTGAGATATCACTATGGACGCAGCGCAGCCTGGATTACGTTAATGGCGAGGTCGACTTCTCTTCCTTTATTCAGCCGGTGGTACAAAAGAAAAACCCCGTACAGACCAAGGATGATAGGGTCATACTGATTTGTTTGAGCGCGCTCACTCATTGTTGCGAACCATCTGGGGTCGATACAGAGGTTGGTTTTTATGTAGTTCTGTGTTGAAGGCCTAGCGCCCAGTTTTGTGTGTTTTACTAAGTATGTTATGTGAAAGTCGTAACTAGGTCACCTGCCATGGTGAGATAATGAAAGGCACCCGTTGATCGTTTGCTATAGTCTTACTCGATTCAACCTGATAAAGGATCCCTTGGCTTTCTCCGTCGATCAACGGGTTAGTGCTGATTGACGAGATCGGACATTGGTCTTCTGGCCCTCATGGCAACATGCAAAATATGGAATCCATGGCCTTGATGATTGGCGCCTCATAGTCTGGTGCACTAATCGCGAGGTCGTTCCCAAAACAGATATCATTTAAGTATGTTGTCAGTACGACACATCCTTCGTTGACCAGTGCGATATATGTGATGACCTCGACGGACACGTATCGATGTGCATAAAAGATCCGCGGGTCTTGAGCCTAGATTTTCGAACGAAGCAAACAACTTTGATAGTTAACGTAATCCACCACCGAGCCGACCAACCTCCCCGAGCCGATCAGCTCTTCCTCAGATTTGCAGTAGCATTGCTTGTCTCTCTGCCTCTGACCAGAGCGCAAGGATTCACGCCTAGTAGTGTAAGGTTAAACAACAAAATCAAGCAACAAACAGCGACTAATAGAAACTCTTCTCTACAGTTTGTGCAGGCCTGGAGGAATAGGAAACTCTAACAGACCTTGAAATACTCTCTCACATTTGCCTTCATGGCTGTTTTGAATCCAAGTAAGGTCACCTTTGATGATTGGTCATTAGTAGGGTCAATTAATACCTATCTGATATTATACATAGGTTGATCCTATCTATCTCGTCCCTAGTCCCAATTGTTCTCTGTTTAAGTAGGCTGGGTCCAGTATTATTGTTAATAATCAAATTTAATGTCAATAACGAGCGCTAAAGTAATAAAGATGAGATAGACCGTACCGTACATCTTTCGTGGAAGATCGGGCCAAAGTAATGGAATTAGTTCCTCGAGGTCATAGCTAAAGTGAAACCTGTCTGGTGATTACGAGAGAAAGAAAGATCCCTAGGCACAATGCAACAAAAAAGAAAAAATAATTTTTATGCATAACGACATCAACTGAGCAAGGACCCCGTGTAGATGGCCTGAGAAATTTTTCAAGCCAATTTTTCTTTGTCAACTCCATAGGAACCATTTACCAAACCATTATGACGCAGTATAAGGCCAAGGACAGATCAAGCCTTTCAGAAAGGCCAGTTTTTCCTTCAGTTCCGGGTTGTCAATTGTGGGATATTTCCACTGGTCAATGACCGCAGCGATCCCGTCCCCAGTAATATGAATCYTAGTGTCTAAAATGAGACTGGGGGGGAACGAAACATTAACGTCCACATAGAGATTGCTTCCAGATGTGATAATGAAATGGAAAGACCCGGCGCGGGTTAGCCTTTGGTTATAGTGAATGTTTAGCTTCGTGTGGTCCCGCTCATTGAAATGACCGCACTGAATATGTAGTTCAGCCTTCAGACTGACATAGTCGTTGAAGACCTTGTATTCGGTAATTATATAATCATAGCGACCACTGCAAATAGGCGTATCGATAGGCCCGTCGCCAGTGATGTTCAGCGGGCCCTGTTCCAAGGGCGGGGTGTCTTTGAAAACATGGACTTTGAATTTCTGTTCATTGGTAATCCAGCAACACTGAGTTACTTTATCCTCGGGGACGGTAAGCCTGTGCCAAAATCCGTCATAATGGCACCTGTGAGCCTCAATCGTCGCATGCACGCTACCCACAGGGCAACAGGTTCTGCTGTCATAAACATAATCCCCGGGGGCATCCTCGCTGGCATTGTCGTCGAAAAGGAACTTAGGTTGCGAAACAATATAAGTTGGCAGAGGAGCAATATGTCCTGTTTGCGATCTTAGCCAACTTCTGCACGTACAAACCGCACAATTGTAGATTAGGGCTCCTGTCCGTTTCTCACAACCACGCCGTATCACATCAGAACCAGGCATTGCGACAGCGTGGCGCCAGATAGGGTGTGAGAAAAAGAAGGGACCTTAGATCAAGCACTCACTTTGGGTAGTATCAGCCTCTATAGGCGTTGCAAACCCTATACTAGCAAGAGTAAGTATAGTAAGCACACAGTAAATAAGTCTCATTATATAGAATCAGGAAATTTAGAATATTATTCCCTTATATAGCTCTTATATAAATTATAAGTATAGAATTATAACTATTAATTTATCTTAAAACTAGATTAATACTACTAAGAATTAAGAGAATTATTTATATTCATATTATTCCTTGAATTTAACTAACTAGACCTTTTAATGATATAATATATACGTAGTTAGAGTTAGTTATATTAAAGAGTAGTGTAATAGACTCCACCGTTTGCAGCCATGAATGATTACTTATAGAGCTTCCTATTTTGGAAAGAGCTGATATGAAATAAGTTGAAAAGCAGAACAGTTTGCAGAAATAAGAAATCTAGAAGAGCCCAGAGGTGGCTAGATCCCTTACATCTTTGCATCTTAGCTCTCCTAGAGCACTTTATTAAAGATATATAGACATGTGTCTGCAAACAGCGAAGTCTATTACACTATTATTTAATATACCTAAACTTTAACTACATATATTATATCATTAAAAGGTCTAGTTAGTTACATTCAAGGAATAATATGAATATAAATAATTCTCTTAATTCTTAGTAGCATTAATCTAGTTTTAAGATAAATTAATAGTTATAATTCTATACTTATAATTTATATAAGAGCTGCATAAGGGAATAATATTCTAAATTTCCTAATTCCTATACAATGAGACTTGTTTACATTCTTACTATACTTACTCTTGCTGGTATAGGGTTTACAACACCTATAGAGGCTGATACTATCCAGTGTAAGTGCTTAATCTAAGTCCTCTGTTTCTCTGTCTTCTACTCACTTTGATAGATGGCGATATTAGAACCACAGTGTATGGTTATGTAAACCCCCTTCTAACCACGCACTGACCACTCGCTAGGGATTGGTGCGATAATTATCGCGATTGCCCACGTCCAAGTGTTTTCTGGACGCGTTGCTGCTGTCGCAAATGGTCCGACAAGGACTCAGACCCCGGCTGGTGCCACGCTGTCGCAATGTCTGGCTGTGAGGTGATCGGTGGGGAATGTCAAAAATGGAACTAGGAACTGATAGCTTTTGTCTGTGATAACCCGAAGGTTTAGGCCACCGGGCCTCAATCTTTCGCGGTCATATTGGTGACTTCATCATTTATTTGTCCTATTTCGTTGCTGGGAAGGCTTGTGATGTCAGAACCCTTCTAAATGCGAACGTCTTCCCAACTATAGCAGTGAATTGGAGGATTTCGTTATGGAATGTATTTAAAAACTTCTGGAAGGTGTTTGGCTTCTGTGGTCATTATTTGCCTCAATTTCGTTTGTGTTAGTTCACGATTCCTTTGCAGACATTTGCCCTGGTCCTCTACGCTTCGGTGTGGGTTTTTTCCCCCAGAGGTTGTTGGTTTTTCCCCACACTCCTATGCGAATGCAGAGGCTTGGACAGGGATATGGTTGAATTAATAAAGTCTTATTATACAGCTCCCTAGCACCAAGCTATTTGCGGGGTCTGTAAATAAAGTTGTATACCATCATAGGACGCAAACCACTTGAGAATGTTCAATTTCCGAAATGATGGTGGGCATATTTATGTCTACATGGCAACTTAACTGGCTAAAGCTCTGTTCAATATGATATTATACTCATGCGAATAAGCAAAAGCAAGCAGTTAGAGGGCGACGTGGACAGCGTGGACAGCGTGGACAGCGCGCACCTCAAAGTGTGTGATGATCGCACAAGTTCCTTGACATGCTACTTCCGAAAATGACACCAGGATCGGCGTCATTAATTGTGAAAGCAGGATCAAGCTGTTCKAAGCTGGGACTCGCTGGCTATACACCGTTTTCTGTTGCTACTCGAGCCGAGGATATAGCCATATTTCAGCGAAGTGAGATATGTGTTATTTTGTAAGGCTCCGTGGAACCTGCTGAGAGGAGAGGGCGATTAGTTATATGTATTCACTATTAAAGCAGTATGTTAGAGAAGTCAGGTACAAGTCTATGCAGGTGGATCGATGCCTGACTTCGCCAGGAGGATGTATGTAACGCTGGCCAGACAGCATAGATCAGATCAACCTGTTATATAAGTGAGCGGACCGAGGATGGCTCCTTGGCTTGCGAGGGAAATACAAGAGCTTCAAGAGCATATTTACAGTTCTCTGTGCTTTGGGCGTTTATGCTAGACAAACACAGTCTTCTTGGCTACAGTCTCGGACAGAATTTCATGAGTCTCACCAAGCTCTTTGGCACATTTGATTGCTTCGTCCATGATTCAGTGCCTCCGATTTTGTGAGACGCGCTCGCAAATTTCTCCTGCCTCGTGACCTTGATCTCTGTTTAATCGAGCACAAGCACAAGTTCTCGTGAACTACTTTGAGAACAAAGTAATAATCCTGCGGTCCCATATTGAGAGACACGCCAGATCGCTAGCTCGTTCCCGGATTCTATTTTTGAAAGAGAGAGATATACATGTATTGATATAACATAAAATAGTGTTTTCTGAAATAATGTTCTCAGCTTTGGATACTAACCTTCTGATGGAGAGAATATTAGTGACTGGTTATATATTTCTAATTGAATACATGTTGAATATTCGAAAATATGTCTGCCGGATCCCAGGATGCATTTACTTTCACATAATGTCGGTCTGGAGACCCACATAATCCAACATCATGTGTCCAAAAGTATTTAGCTGTCACACCTGGGGGTCGATCTCTGCTGTACTCTGCTAGTCACTACTACTTGGGAACGCGGACGATAGCAGGGCAGGCATACAGTCTGACACTTGCCGGTATACAACTGACGCGCAACACATTGTTCCGACCAGAAGCAAGGACAATAATAAGGGTAACATATGAATAATAACAGTAGAGATAGAAGGAAGGCCTACTATGTATTTCATTTTTTTGTTAAGCAATTTTATCTTCGCAGAAGGAGTGCAAGTTCTCCCCACACGGACAAGGGAAATACGCTAGCTTGCAGGCAGGAGCTTCAGATCTTTTGTATTGGAACACAGGCGTTCTCGCAGCCAGACATAAGAGTGGTTCGACAATAGCCCGGCTCTGTCTTTGGTTGCCCCTTACCACGGCAGCAGCACTTTCTCCAGAAAACGTTAGGACGAGGACAGTCTTCATCAGTCATACACATCCTAATGAAAACCTTTTAGGTCACATTTATGAATAGCCTGTTGTATACATACTCTGATGTATATTCTAAATAAACGAGTTAGGAGAAAGGCTTTTCAAAAGGATTCCAAATCTAAGGGTTGCATACTCTTGATAGACGCTGAAATATCACTCATAATGGGGTTGGAAAGGCCCATACCCAGAAATGCAAAACTGATGATAGAGTAAATGAATTTCATTGTTGCTAAGAAGGTCTCCGTTTCCTTATAGTCTCTTTTGTTAAAAACTAAAGAAGAGTAGCTATCTACTGAATGGAACCTGGCAACTCTACTTATACTAAAATATTGTATATAATGACTGACCAATGCCGGTAACATCATTAAGATATTCAAAGAATAAATAAATTATCCATTGCCATAGACTCATAGATAGAGGAATCTAGAACCGGCCAGCACTTTATCTAGGAAGCCAAATTCATAGACTACAGTTGGAGTAGACCTATAGTATTCATTTGCGGAACAGATGAGTACTTGTGACAGGTGCTATCTATTAGTCACTACTTTGGGAAGGGGCGTTAACTTCTCTGGAGCACTCCAAAAGAGGTCTATCATTCCGACCTAGAATTGCACAACAGACGGCCTTGGTTAATATCAAGTATAATGATTAATTTCTACCTTGACAGAGCGTATGTCCCATGGCTCTATGTATCGAATGCTTTCTCAAAGCAATAGGTATACCGTTCATGTCACACAAATGATGCCTACATTATCAATGTAACGTACAAGTTGATTGAAAAGCTATGGCATTTGTTTTCAGCCCCACCTACGATCATTCCGTTGCGGCCCGGGGAACCGAGTTCATGCTAATGACACCGTGGATGACATGTTCTCCGGGCCCGCTCTTGTACATTTGCAGTATTAGAGTCAATTCTTAATGTGATAGGAACCATCAGAGAATGACAGATGTCAGTCTGATGCTGTTGACTCAGAGTGAGCTAAAATGCTGAGGTCAACAATTTAGAATTATGCATTTTGCTTAATAAAGATCAGTTGTCATTTCTGAGACTTTATTTCAATGCACGCATGAAGTTGGGAGAGAGCGGTTCCGTGGTTCTGATGCATCAACAACCAAGCGTCTGGAAGATCTAAAGTAAAGTATGTAAATTAATCCTGTAGTTTGCTCTATACGTTATAGACAAGGGACTCCCGAAATATATGATTTCTAAAGTACAGAGCCAAATTTTATTGCATTTACCACGGATATTGTACTAAGATATCTGACAAAAATGTACACTGAATCAGAAGCTATAATACCTAACTTGGCCCCTGCAGTACTTAGGCTTGATATTGTCTCCTAACACAGGACTGGGTTCAAGGAACAGCTGCTTTTGGGACTGATGAGATCCCTGCTGGAGACTTCTGACTTCATCGTGACATGCTTAAGAGAACTTAGGCTACTCCAGCAGAGGCTAGATGAGTTTGACTTTTCTAAATCAAATTATATCTCTATAGGCTAACAGACTTTCAAGCAAATGACTTTTTTCGTCACTGTAGTAATAGGCGCTACATTTTTACCGGTTAAAAAATACTCTATGACACTTAGACTG